CCTGAAGTGAAAGCAAAGTCCTCCTCAGTCTTCTAGCCATAGGTAGGGGTGGCTCTTCTCTATAAAAGGGAGCCCATTTCAGGAAATGCCTATCTGATCTGTGCAGAGACCAGGGAGGTCAAACTGAGCCTACCAGCCAGAAGCAGCACAATTGCTAATCCATCCCATGCTGTTGAGCATAAAACACTAAAGCAGTAGAGACAGGCCACCATGCCAGACAATCCTGTTCACAAATTTATCAAGCTCCAGCTTAAAACTAGATAGTCTCCTTATCCCTTCTCCCCTCCAAAACAGTGCTGGAGCAGCCTCCTAGCAAGAGCGAAGTCTCCATTAAAAAAAAAAAAAAAAAAAAAAAAAAAAAAAAAAAAAAAAAAAAAAAAAAAAAAAAAAAAAAAAAAAAAAAAAAAAAAAAAAAGATGGCCTAACAACACTTGATTCAGTAGAAATTTTTAAACGCTTGTCTAAATTCACTGCAACCCTCTTTCAGGGACATGTATTGCCCCCCTGCCATCCCTTAAAAGAAGCTTTCACTATCAGATGTTGTTTAGGTATAAACAGGTTCTTCTCTAAGTGCGCACATACAGGCAGATGGACATATAAATAATGGGTGTGCATGCAGACAGAGTGCGTATGTCAGGCACTCTAAAGCTTGGCAGTGATCAAGGCACAAAGAAAAGGCAGTGGCACATGCAGGCCCAGGCCTTTGGTTATCGTCCTTTGACATCTTCATTTCGGGGCTCCCACTGCCCACCTGACCATAGACATCAGAAAGAAAGAGGGCAGGTCCGTTTGGTAACATTTAACCCACCCTTTCCCAACTCAAGGCAGAGTCTCTCATGCCACCTATTTGCCAGGGCTTCAGTCAGTCCAGTTCTATATACCCCAAAGCAAAGACTTACCACCACTCCCCTTGGACACTACTCTGCATTCAGCAGAACCCCATCATCAGGAAGCAATTTTTAAAATCAGCCAGAGCATTGCTTAGTTTCAGCTTGGTGCTCACCTGCACTGCTTTCTTGAACCAAACAGGTCTTGTGTCACCTTAGCGTTTAAAACACCATTTAAAACGCTAGTGAGACTAGAAAGACTCAATCTCTCTTGCCTAAACTCTGCAGCCCCCTCAACTATTCTAGTTGCTAGTCACCTAATGCCTTCCCCGGTGTCAGTATCTTTCTGGAACTAAGGTGCCCACAGGATATCCTGTCTAGGTTTTCCATAGAAGGAATTCACTGGAAAAGGTCTTGACATAGACATGCCACAATCACAGTACTGACGGAACCTGTATGGAACTAGACCACATTTCCACCAGTCTGCTCTCAAACCAGGTCAGGATTCACAGGGCCTGGCAGCAACGCCAGTTTATACCAGCTGAAGATCCCGTCTATGGACTTTCCACCCACAGTTCAATCACGCCATTTCTTTAGTCCCCTGAAGTGTGGCATTTCTATGGGCCTTTGACTACCCTTCCCATGGGATGTTCCCATTACCTCGTGCTCTCCCAGCCAGCCCCCTCTCTGTTCCACAGTAAAAACAGGAGTAACAGGGCTCACCTTGTAGATGGAAATTGTAGACCTGTAAGACTCTTCCATCTCACAAAGCTTCTGTGGGGAGGAGGGGGCTCCCTGGAAAGAGAGAGGTTGAGGCAAGGCAATGTTGTCCTTGAACCCTCTTGTGAATCCAGTTGCAAGGGTTCAGCTGGCTTGAGTTTGCCTCCCTCCCTGGCAAGGCAGGCAACCAGGAAGATGCATACCCTGTTTAAAAAAGAACAACGTTGCAAGAAGGTTTAATAATTCACCAGTCAGGATGTTAGAACTTGATCCTTGAATGAAACCAGATACTCAGGAGAGAGGAATCCTGTGGCAGCCAGGAGAAGCATGTGACCTTCTTCTTTAAATATTAATTGCAGGTTTCATTATTCAGTTCCCTCCAGACTAAGGTTGGGCACTGGGCGCTTATTTGGGCTAGAGAGCCACTTAAGGGGTTTCGTGAGTTGTTGAGGGCTGACTGGGCCTCAGCCCTATCCGTCCTCTTCCCCCACCCCATCATGGCTGTATAATACCAGCCTGCGCAGCAGGGCAGGGCAGTGGGCTGGGTGGATGCCAGTTAATCCTATCCAGCTGGTCCAAGGACTTATGGGGACTGGATCGTGGCTCTGCCCTGGGCCCCAGCCCCAGCCAACCAACCCACTCCCAGATGCCAATTCCTGCCTGCAGCCCTATCCCATCTACCCAACCGAGTGCACCTTGCCCATGGGGGTCTCAGGCCAGTCTCCATGGAGACCCCACCTGCTTTCTTCATCTGGTGCCCCTGGCAGTGGGTGCAGGGTGGATGGACCAGGGCTCCCAGGAAATGTGGCCTGGTCCAGCAGCAGAAGCAGAGACTGGCAGCAACAGCCAGAGGGCAAAAGCAAGCTACCACCGTGGGGGCTGGTGAGAAGCCAAGTCCAGCCACCGCACTGCCCCCGCCCCACTGCCGTGCCACCTGGCCCCACAGACTACAGCTCACAGCCTGCCAAAGAGCCACATGTGGGGATAAAGCACATGGGGATAGTGCAGCCGTGCCTGGCAGTGCCAAGGAACCCACTGCAGGCAGACAGTTACCTGCCTGACTGGGTTCTGACCACCATCAGTATTTGCCCATTCCTGCCCCGAATATCACATGCTGGCTGTACCGGCTGATGCCATCTCTGGCAGGACAATCTCACTACAGCTCACCACTACCACCACCACCTGGACAAGCACCCGGCTGGGGTCATCTGACCCCAGCACGCTTTCCCACCCATGACAGGGGTTTGGACTCGATGACCTACTGAGGTCCCTTTGGACCCTAACATCTGTGAATTTATGAACCTCATCCACTCCCATTCCTTAGATGAGATAACTTGGTCAATTTGCAGCTCCAGGTGCCACTAATAATGGACTTCCTCTACTTCCACTATCCACTCAGGTTAGGATTTGGCCAGTAACCTCTCCATACCATTCAGTAGGGGGCAAGGCTCCCCTGGAATATTGTGACCAGTTTTGGACACCGCACTTCAAGGACAATATAGACTCACAAGAAATAGCCTGGTGGAGAGCACCAAAAAGATTAGAAGTCTGGGGAACACGATTTCTGAGGAAAGGTTGGAAGAACTAGGATTACATTGTCTGGCAAAGAGAAGATGGCCCCACCCCTTCAGTCTTCAAATATGTGAAGGGTAGCTACAAAAAGGATGGTGATAAATTCTCTGTGGGCAGGATGGGAAGTAATGATCTTAAATTGCAACAAGGGAAATTTAGTCTGGATGGTAGGAAGAACTTTCTAGCTCAGCAGGTAGTGCAACAGTCCAGCAGGTTACCTAGAGAGGCGGTGGGGTCTCCATCACTGGAAGTCTTTAAGAACAAGTTAAACACAGACTTGAACGAGATGATTTAGGGATGATCCTGCCTTGAGCTAGGGGTTGGATTAGATCAGGGATGTCCAACCTTTTTGAATGTGGGGCCAGATCATGAACTTTTTACCACCCAGTGGGCCACTCAGCCATATTCAAAGACCTCACAGGAAGCAGTAGTGCATCAGGAAGTGATGTCATGTGACCTTTGACACCAATGAAGTTGCAGGAAGCGACAACGAAATGGGTCTGGAAGCGTGGTTTAAAACCCAAAATAAAAACAATATAAAAGCAACACTGAAATAGTACCAAACACTTGACTAAAATAAACACTTTTGCTTCTACTCACTTCTCAGTGAACGAAAGCAGCAGAACGCAGGCTTGCCGCACCAGGTAGAGGAAGCCGTGGAGGAGCAGTTGGCTGTTGGAGGAGGAGAAGCAACGCCTCAGGACACTGCCCGGCTCCATTGGAGACGAGGAGCCCAGTCTTCACACACGGCCACGTGCACACAGCCCGTCTCCCTCCTCGCCCCCGGCTCCCATGGAGGAGGGGGAAGGCCTGAGTGTGACTTTGTGCTTCCTCCTCACGAGCACATGCATGAGTGTGGCACCCCCACATGGGCTCCTCAGCATCCTGCCTGAGGACATAGCCCCGTTAACAGCCAGGCAGCCACATTTCATGCTCGCGCACCCATCCCCACACCGGACCACGCTGCCCCTTCCCCGCCGACGCGGTGCAGCCCACCCCCGACGCAGGGCTTAAAGGATCCGCATGATGGGCTCAGAGGGGGCAAGGGGGCACCTCAGCCCGGGCCCTGGGACCTGCCTGGAGCAAGCTCACCCACCCTGGCCTCCATGGCTGCGGTCAGGGGAGCTGAGAGAGGGGCCCTGCTCCCCCCGGGGAGAGAGGCAGCAGTCACCAGGCAGCCAACTGCTTTGTAGTCTGTGTTTGCCAGACACCTGCTGATGGGCTGGGGGAGGGACAAGGGGTGGGAACAAAAGCAAACAGTGTTTACTTTCATTTCCCGTTGCAGCACCTCGGGCCTCAGAAAATGGCTTGGCGGGCCGCATGGTGACCTGTGGGCCCTATGTTGGACAAGCCAGGATTAGATGACCTTCTGAGGTCCCTTGCAGCCCTGCTTTTTCTGCTATATTCTCTCCAACAGCTGGGTTTTCCTCCATCATCTCCAAGGTACTAAAACAGATCTCAGGGTCAACCATGACCTAAAGAGAGGGGAGTTTCTCTTCTCATAACTATCTTTCAGGTGAAGTATGAAACTAAAGCATGAACCAGTCCAGTTCATTTAGATTCCAAAACATTTTGGCAAAACCCTCCATGTACCTGACCCACTTCCAACTAGGTCATTATGCAGCACATGCCCAAAAGTTGGATAATATTGTTCAGCAATGCCTGGCAAAGTCATAATCATTGCCTTCTACCCCAGAGATGGCTGCACATCAACAGTGAGTGACAGGTTGTCCTGGTACCTATAAAGACATATTCTACTTCACATTTATGCTGGTGTAAATTGGAAAACAGAGGAGTGATGCTCAATTTCAGTGAGATCTGGCCCAAAGCCCTTCAGCATCTTGTGAGAGAGAAGACATCCGAAAAAACACAAAAAACTTATATGAGGATCACACCTCCCTTTATTTCACAATGTGTCAGTTTTACATAGATGCCTGTGCTTGCACCAACATTATAACCTGCTGGTTAGTTGTACAAGGCAATAAGTGTGAGACACTTGCATTCCAGAAAGAAAAAAAGTCACAGCTCACAGTTTATCAGGTCATCTCCTACCTGTTCTTACACGTGAATAAATTAAGTGCTAGCACAAGCTAAAATACAGGCAGATACAGTCATTGCCCTTTAAAAGCAGCCTTGAATTTTCCAACACGGAAAAGCAGCAGCAGCACTGGAATGGAGGAGGAGCCATCTTTTCCCAGGGACTGGACTCCTCAGTATGAAATGATCACTGGGAACAAGGGCATTTTAAATCAGTAAGTCAAAGTAATTAGCCAGTAAATGGTCCCCTTATTCAACCTTTGTTCCATAGCTGAAACAAATGTCTTGTTTCTTTTCAAGTAACCCTGGAAGAAGGAAAGGGACTTTCCATATCTCGGCCTGAAAGCAAAGACCACCATGGCTAGCCCATTGGCAGGAAAACACAAATTTGGAAAGCCCCGAAGTCTCACCCCTTCCTGCCTCCCAGGGTGATTCACACCACCTGAGCAGCAAAAAGCTAATCTTCCCTGCCCTACTCAGACAGGGCAAGGCAAACCAGCTACACCACATCAAGCGATGCCCCCTTCCTGAAAGCTGATGACCAATTAGAAAAGAAGAGAAGAGTCACAATACTCTGAGTCCAAGTCTATTGCAACGTCTTTGCCCCCTCCTTCATGTGGACCATGGGGATAGCAACTCTTCTTCCCTCAACAAGACACACTCAGGCGCACACAGACTAGAGTGGAATCCTTGCAGGTCTGTCTTTGCCCTGGTCATCACATATTATCTAGAAGGTGCCCAAGTAAGGGTGTTTTGAGGCACTGCAGGTAAGGGAGTTCTCAGTGCTACAGTATAAGTCTGCTCAGGCTTGGGGGAGATAGGAAGCAGAGCAAGGACAGCAAGGTCTGTCCTTGCTCTCTGAGACATCAGGGTCAGAGGATCCAGGGAATTCTCGAACCAGGAAGATGCTGGCGAGATACCAGAAACTGAAGGGAACCGTGCCTAGCATGGATCATTCTGATCCCTGAATTCTCAGAGATGTCTCAGGCTGAGGGCCAAGGCCAAACTCCAATCCACCCTTTTGACAGTGTTGGTTGTTTCATAGCCACTTCTGTGGTCACTGTTGCTGGGATTGGGCACTCTCCAGAGTCATCGGCTGAGAAGATGCTGGATCAGCTGCTGGAACTGCTCCCACTGCTGATAGATGTACAGCTGGGTGTCCCAGAGTGCATTCACTAGGATGGCATCATTCACCTCATCCAGCATCACATCTGACTGCAGCTGCGGGTTGAACCTGTGGACACCAAGATGTTACCAGCAGGTAGGGACAGCAGCAGGGGCACAGTGTGGGGACAGGCAAGGACGGGGACACAGATGCAGTGCCGCATGACAGAAAGCATGGGGAGAATGAGGCATGCCACATTAGGGCCTTGAGGGAGGACAGAGGACCAAACAGATGGTGCTGTGTAAAAAGCAGGGGGAGGAGGAGGAGGAGGAGGATTTGAGGGGGGCAATGAGCCAAGGAAAGCTCTTACCGGAAATAATGGACGTCAGTCATCTCACACCAGGCCCTGGCCCGATCCACGGCCGGCCCATCTGCGTCAGTACACTGTCAGGGAAACAAGCCAGCTGTTAGGTCATGAAAGGCAATCTGCCCATCCACCGATACAGTCAGGCTCCCTTTGTTCCAAGTCCAACCATAGAAGGCCTCAGGGACAGAAAAACCACCACAAACCCATATTAGAAACCTATCAAAATGGCTTAAAAGGGCTTCTCTGCAAGCCATGTCACAGCTCCCCCCGTGGCAGAGCCCAAGCTTCTAATCCACCATGGGGTGGCAGGCATGAGGACCTGTATAGTAGCTCTGGAAGGGTCCTCAGGAGGCCATCTAATCCATACCCGTGCTCACACCAGGATCATTTCTACTCATGTTTGTCCATACAGACAGCCATGCTCGACTAACCCATTCCTAAAAATACTGTAAAGAACCCTGTTGCACAACTACAAGGCACATTGATTCAAAACACCAAGAACACCCTAACCTGCCATGGATAAAGCAGGAATATGAGGGCAAATCAGATGTCCCACTGCTGCAAGCATTGTTAAAATATATCCAAGAGATTCAAAGAAGAGGATTATGGCTCCTCTACCCCACTACAGAAGAAGGTAAAACTTTCTGCAGTGCATGTCAATTTGGGGTCAGAGATAAGGTTATTGGTGGAGTTTTAACTCTGAACTTTCTACCTTTATTTTGTTCACAAAACACGTTCTAATGAGCTGCTTTTTGTTAAATAAGCAAGAGAGCGAGTGAGCAAGAGAGCATCCACATATCTGTTACGGATATCCATTCTTAGTGAGCTTTTTGGTTAGAAATATCCTTAGATGTTAATGCTGATGCCATTGTCATAATTCAATACGTGACACTTTTTCAGAAAGCAAACTAACTTCAGTTTCTCCAGGCTTGATGTGTTCAAACCAGACTCCAATTCTAAAGTGAGAATTTTGCACCTACTACAAACTGAGCTCACAATTTTATCAATGCAAAAGTTGAGCTTTGCTTTGAAACTTACAACCAATTACTCAGATATGCCTATCTGATAAAGCACAGTTTTTCCACACTCATGAATAATCCACACTCACGCACAATCTTTTCCACACTCACGCACAATCTCTGCCATGACACAGCACACATAAAAATCCTAGGTAGAAAGTACCTTGATAAGAATGTGCTGAGAGAGGCCAAAGATTCCTAGCTGTAGCTTTGCAGAGGCAGATCATAATACAACCATCTAAAAAATGTGCATGTCCAATTCAAGAGGAATTCTTTAGGATGGATCACCTCAACCTTTTCCCCACCACTAACATCTTTTTATTCCTATGTTACTAACTCAACCCATTTTCTAGAGCATGGGAAAACCCCTTTTTTGTACTCAACTGCTATGGACTTTTTAAAGTTTAAGGGGGGGGGGGGGCTGAAACAGGGGATGGTGGCATCCAAGATGGGAAATGATTGAAAACACCTTGATAGGGAAAAGGATCATCCTTATTCAGTTGGTATGTTGGACAGGGACTCATCCAGGGAGTGCTCTCTCATGCAAACCTCATATCCTTGCTTGAATTTAAACTGACAATTTTAACTTTTAAAATAGTGAGGCTTAACAAGAGATGCTGCCTCAGGTGCATCTGTTATACAGAGAACATCACTGCCTCGTTTCTTCCTACCTACCCCATCCCCCGATACTTACACAGTCCACCACCATCTTGCCCAGCTCTCGGGCCCCAAAGACAGTCTTGGCTAGCTCCCAGGGGTTGGAGGGGCGGAAGACATCTACCGAGCTCACTGGGACCTGTGGAGGCTTCCCCGTCCCAAGAGAAACAACCACTCCCAGTTTCTTCACCTTCTGGCTCTGCCCCTATAGAAGATGGAGAAACAGAGTTTCATTACACAGCTCAAGGGCTCGAAGAGAAGAGAAGGCCCTACCCTGCTTCCACCACAACTCTTCTCCTCCTCTACCAAAGCATCTTATACTCCATCACATCCCCATTTCAGTTCTAAACTGCCCTGGCAGCAAGTGCCTGTTGGATGTCTCATGGCCACCACCGTCCAGTAAACTCTGAAGCTGTATTCCCAGAACACAGCTGCTTGCGCACCACACAAAGTGTGGGGACAAATTAACACTAATTGACCCTGCTATCTCCTCAGAGAGCAAACAGCCAGAGCCCAAGAAGCAGAAGTCTGGTTTTGCCTCAAGACTTCAGCCTCCAACCACAGCTGTGTTGGAACACCCTGGTAGGGAAGTGCTGGGAAGGGACAGCTTACATAACTGACTGTGCTGTGGATAAGACACAGGACTCTGGTGTCAGGGAGCTGCCAGTGACAGCACCTTTCACCCACATGGAGTCATTTATGACCCCCACCCTGCTGTAGCATCATGCTGGAGAGGGCTCAAGGTAGAGATGCAAGCTCAGGCCTCCAACCGCTCTCTAATTTGCTCCCACCTTTTGGATTAATGACTTATTGTACTCGTGGATCTCGGTCAAGGCATCCAGGGTGGGATTGTTGGCTAGCAGGCCACCATCTAGAAAACGCCCAATGGGTCGGAAGTATGTTGGAGCAGCACCACTGCAGCGGGCAGCCCGCCACACCAGCTGGTCTGTGAAAACAGGAGAGAGCAAGCTGAACTGAGATGCAGGCTTCCTGCATACACAGGGGTACAAAACACTAAAATGGGAGCAGGGAGGTTTGGGACTCCTAGAACCACTCCACTAGTTAGCTCCACCCCCCTCCCTCACCACATCGTGGTCCTTACCAAGGTTTACTGAAGAATCTATTTTTTGTTTAAAAAAAAGGTATTGCCCCCCCCCCGCATTCAACCTCCTTGAAAGCTACTTAGCCAAATTCATCCCCGTTTTAATTCTTTTGCTGTCAGTGGAGTTACTCTAGGGATGAACCTAGAGTATGGCACAGATTCATTCATTAGACAGAAAGGATGGAGATGACCTCCACTAGAACCTATCCACATGGCTAGATGAGAATGTACTTTCCAACTGTCTAGTGGCTCTTCTGCACTACTCTTTGCCTGATGTTGCAAAGAAAGCAACAGAATTTGGGCATCCCCATTTCCTCTGCAAAGCAGCAGAGCACATCCCCAGTTGACTGAGGTACCCTGCTATGGTTTATTAAGGCAGGAGATCAGGAACAGTCACAGAAGGATGGGAGAGAAAGAGCAAGCTGAATGAGAAACTTTTTCTCAGACCAAGCTCTGGAGTGCTAATGGGAAATAACCCACTGTCAGGAGGTATTGTTTTGCACAGAAATAGGGAAGGAGGCAAAAGACTTCTGTTCTTTGAGGCAGAGCCCTCTATTCTGCCAGTCACCTGGACCAATGAAGTCTGGTGCTGACACTGTTTACCTTCTGGCTTGGTCAGTGGTTTGAAGGAAGCTGTTGTCTTGTAACTGGGCCCAGTTCTAGTCTCTGGGGCCTGGTAGTTCCGGAAGAGGTGGAGCTCAGCTGGCTGCCGGTCACATAGGGTCCCCGTTACCATGACCCTGTCAAAGGTGAAGGGAGGAACCAAGGTGAGTGCTGAAACCAATGCAATTATATGCTGCCAACCTGTGCATCCTTCTCCAAGTCAGGCCCATGACAAGGTTTAACACTTCACCACAGAGGCTGCCAATGGGAGCAGAGCAAGGTCAAGCAGCCCCCATAAAAATCCCAACCAGCACAGCCCCAGGTAGAACTCACTTGGGTTTCTGGACTTCTGTCATCTTGGTGTGCTCTCCAAACTCCCTCTTCAGGAACTCATTCAGGGGCTCTGACTCGTAAGGCCGTGACCCTCGGAACACTTCATCCTTCATGCGGAAGTACAGGCACCGCAGGTAATCCATGGACTTCCCTGGAACACAGCACAGCACCACCAGTCACCACAAGAGTGCCAGGCAGGAGAACTGTAGATCTGGCCACACTCAGGGGATCAGAGTGCAGATGAGCCAAGCCAGCAACAGAGGTGGAAGAACCCCTCCCAGCAGCCTCTGAAGCCAGGCTTGGAGTTACTGGGAAGCCTTGAAGGGAGGGGATCTGTTCAGCACCAACTCCAAAGGCAAGAAGAAAGTGCTGATGGACTAAATTCTAGTACTTGACCGGTGAGACCTGCTGACTGCTTGCCAAATGACTTCCCACACCTCTTCCTAGGAGGCAAACCCCTCTCAGCTGGAAGCAATAAGCCACAGCCAATGGCTCCCATTCATTTTGCTAGCTCTTCCATTTCTCCACGTGCCAAAGCAGGGTGCTTCTGCCCCACCAACCAAACCACCACTCACCATGTACGACAGCCAGTGCAAGGATCCCTCCCGTGCTTGTCCCTGCAATCCAGTCAAAGAGGTCCCTGATGGGACGGCCTGTAGCCTTCTCAATAGCAATGAGAAGCTGGATAAGCACCAGGCCCCGGATGCCCCCTCCATCCAGACACAGGACGCGGTCGAGACTAGAAGGGAGCAAGGAGACAGGAGCAGGGTTACACACCAGAAGATGCTGTATACCAGATGGCAATACTGCTCTCTACTAGCCTGCCGTCAAGCCCCTAACCAAATACCCAACCTCTCCTTAGCCGACGGAGATTTCCTGCAACCCTCCACACGTGTCCCAGCTCTCATTCCACTTGCTAAATCCTCCTGTGTCCTAGAATCACCCATCTGGTCTCTCAAACACCTTCAGTTTCTTTACCATTACTGCCTCTGCCATGATCAAGTCCCACACACATCCCGAGCAGTTTTCTGAGCATCCCACCTGGAAATTAGAGGACACTGCAGGGGCTAAGCAGGATGTAGTATATTAAGTCAGAAGTCACCAGCTTCCTCCAGACAAAAGACTGCATTGCAGAGAGCCATCTTCCCTCCACAGCCACAGCCACACATTCCCCCCGCCATGGGAATATGCTGTTGCCACATTAAGTCTGTTATCTATTTGAATACTGAACATTTTAGGAGCAACATCCAGCTAGTGTATTTGAGATTATGGGATAGACATCTCCCAGACTTTTGCAGGCACCAAATTCACAACTTCCCACCCCTTGCCAGATGCCAAAACATTTGCCTCTCCCTGTGACATATCTTCAACAATGCAGTCACATAATGAAACAAGTGATGACTGCAATGGACGGATCTTCACCTGGTACGAACAGAAGTAGCTCCACCTATTGTCAACAGTCAGCAACAGAGTACCTGGCAGCACTGGCAGCGACAACCATGCATTCTTGTGGGGTACCATGGATCAGACTTGGATGGAGCTGCACTGACATACATTTACTGTGTTGTCATTTAATGTACTAATCCCTCTCCCCTCCACCCCACATTGCCAGCAGCCCCTTCCCGCTTCTTCCCCACAACAATTTCTAATCTGCAGTCCCAGAGCATTACAGAAATGCGAGGCCCTGCTGCAGAGTTTAAGACCTACATACCACAGTACTCAGAGCCTTTTTTATGCTCCCCGCACAACACAGAACCTTGAGAAGGCAGAGAACCACAGCTCCCCATGGCTGGCAGGCAGGTACCCCTTCCTCCCCTGTGCCACTAAGATAGCAGGGGATGCAGTATAACCTCCCACCATGCTAGAAATCGGGGTCCTCATGCTGGGTGGAGCTCTGCTACAAGAAGTCCTCCTGCTGGGAGCCATTTCTTTGGAGGAGGGCTGCAATTCACTACTCCCAGCCTCCCTGAAGCATGCTTTAGCATGGTTAATGAGGCAGGCTAGTTCTCACTACGGATGCAAACCCTCGTATAGGAAGGATGCGGGAGTGATGCGCACAGCAAGGAGTTACCTAGCTCTGTACCCCAAACTATACTCCCTTCCAACCCCCTGCAAATCACCACCAGTT